TAATATAATATAATATAATATAATATAATATAATATAATATACACATATATCTGCATTTGACACATTCATTTACCTTTCCCTTGCAAGCTGTCTTTAAAGACAGTGTTATGCTCTCTGAATGGTTGTAAAAGTTATGTGAATAGCAATGCAATTTCTCGGTCTAAGCAAGATTCAGAAAAAGAGGGCATGGCAAATAGAAAAAAAGCTGAGAATGCAATTATGGCAAGTGGCACACAAGGTTCTTTGGGTAAATCTTTTATTAGATCAAGCAAATAGTTAGAAAAAATGCTCTTTGCAAGCTTTCAGGCACAAACACCCTTCTCCAGGCATAGGGAGAGCGGGCTCTCAAGTGACATTTCTTAAAAGAGTATAACCAGATTTCCCCACCACAGTAAGCCTGTTGTTAACAACCACACACATGCATTCCAGCCCTATTAAACAGAAAGAGCAAAGCAGCACTGATTGGCTCTGACGGCCAACCATGACTCCTTTCTCTTGTAGAGAAACATCTCATATTCCACCTATAACTGTAGTGACTAAAATGTCACTCCCAGAAGATGGCTTTTTGACAGCTTACGTGAAAGGCAATGGTCTGCATCCATTACCACAGAATTCACTATTGCAACTGCGAGTTGGTGACAGTCTCAACAAAAAACAAAAGGGATCAAGCCGACTGTATGATTAGTCTCAACAGAAAACCGAAAGAATGAATAATCAACTATTGGGTATCCACATTTTTTTTGCAAAAATCTTGTTGGTCTAATAGAAGATATCACCTCTACCATGAGTCCTGATTCCTAATCAGCTATGACTCACTTGTCCCAAAAGATGACCCCTTTAAATCCAGTCTGAGATTTTTGTTTTGAGGAGCCTAAAAGCGGGGTGGCGGCAGAGGGGTTAAGGTGTTTTGGTATAGATTTAAAAGAACAGGCTTAAGCCATTTGCTACTCAGCGGCTGCACCTACACGTGTGCCTTACTGCAGTCAACTAATTAGCTACGCAGTCACGTGTCACTGTGTACATGTATGACGGTATTAGGGTGCAGTAAAATAATTCACTCTGCTGTAAGATAGTACTGTTGGGAACACTACTATCTTATGGCAGAGTAATTAAGTGCCAAGAAATGCACATGTAGACAGTGACTGGGACTGGCTGGGGCACGAGGGTGCTGCCTGCCCCACACCTCTGCGCTTTAGTACTCTCGTGCCCAGCCAGCCTCTCCACCGCCCAGTGCCGCCACCCCGAGCCCAGGGCTGGCCCCCAAACCCGCTGCCAGCCCAAGGCTTCTCCGTCCCGGCTCAAACTGCTGTCGTCCCAGGCGCACGTGCAGACACAGCACCCGGGAGCAGCTGAGTCTGGTGCAAACTGCGCCAGAGTTTATTGCACTGCATTCATTGAGGGTGTAGATGCACCCAGGCTCTCCTCAGCCATAAATTGGTACCTAATAATTTGGGAAGGGGGCATCGAAGTTGGGTGGACACAATGCCAGCCCACATCAGTCCTTTCTGTGTTTTAATTATATTATAGCTGATGGGCCACTAGGCTCAGGAGGGCCCCTAGCCTGTGTCTCTTGTCTTGCATTAGTTTGTTTGAGGGCTTAATCATGGCTGCGTTTTCCATCAATAACCCGCTGGAAGCGGGCCACATACGACCGTCAGGGCAAGGCCCCGTTGCGCTGCTCTCATTCAGGCCGGTTTTCCACGGAGCAGGTTAATATGCTGCTGTTGGAGGCAGCTGGACGATTTCAAACCCTTTTTTTTTTTCTATAAAACCAACAACCCCATCCCCTCTTTCCCCCGCCGTTGACCTTGTGCGGCGTACTTCACCGTCCTAACGAACAGCTCGTCAAAACACACACGACTGCGCATCACCGCGTTGCTCTGAGACGTGGCAAAGCCCCAAACGAGTTATTTTAAGCAACGAAGAAACATCAGCGTTTCACATGATCCGCAGCCACTGCCGGCCGCTCCCGGGACTCGACCGCTGGCGGCGAGGCTGCGGCGGCACGGGACGGCATCCTGGTTTTCTCGGATTAAAATTTGTTTGTTTTTTTAAATCCCCAATTTTCGGTTTGAAAATAAAGTCACCCCAAATCCACATTGTCCCCAGGAGTGAAATGAAACACCTCTCTCTCTCTCTCTCTATATATATATATATATATATGTGTGTATATATGTGTGTGTGTATATATGTATAGATATATATATGTCTGTGTGTATATATATATATATGTATAGTGATATATGTATATGTGTGTATATATATGTATAGTGATATGTGTGTGTGTATAGTGATATATATATGTGTGTGGGTGTATATATATGTATAGATATATATATATATGTGTGTGTGTATATATGTATAGTGATATATATGTGTGTGTATGTATGTATGTATGTATGTGTATATATATAGATATCCATACCTAGACAGATCTAGCTATATAGATAGCTAGGTATCTATGTATAAGGGGCGGGGCGG